ATACCTTAATTTTTACCTGTGCACCCTGGAGTGGGTGGGGTCTTAATTGGGGCTTATTTTGAGGGTAGGCCTTATATTGAGGAGCCTTGGTGGTGCAGCAGACTAAAGTGCTGTTAAGTAACACTTAGCTGCCAGCTGCCTGCAATTACTGCGAGTTCAAATCTCACCAGGCTCAAGGTTGACTCAGCCTTCCAAACTTTCGAGGTAGGTAAAATGAGGACCCAGTTTGTGGGGGCAATAAGCTGACTTTGTATAAAAAAGAATACTGCTTCGGGGGGGGGGCGAAAGCCCTACTAAGCAGGTATATACAAAAGTATGAAGGCTATTGCTTAACGCATTGTAAGCCACCCTGAGTCTCTGGAGAAGGCCGGCATATAAATTGAACCAATAAATAAATATTGGGAGTAGGTGTAAAAATCAAGCTAGGGCTTACTTTCTGAATAGGTTGTATTTTGGGGAAAACACAGTAGTTACCGTCCATTAAGCACTTACATTTGGCGAGTCCCAGGTGGCAGGCTTTCTCTATCGTGGCATCCACCTTATGGAATTCCCCCCCCCCCGAAGCGAGATTATTAATATTAGAATTTTATATCGGGGCATTAATACAGCCCAGCTACAAGCCATATTTAATTGACTTGGTTAATCTTGGAAAAAAGCTAAGCACGGTGGTTTTGATAAATTCCCAGATTGCAAGATTATGGGCGATTTCTAGATACGAATCTAGAAAACAATCCTGGTTTAGATGCTTGTGCAGTATCTGTAGGTCCAGGCTGAACTGTGGTGTTCTTGGTGTGCTTGCTTTGAGATATTTATTCATTCTATTTATTAAATTTAAAGACTGCCCATTTCACTCACAGAGCAATTTCATTGCCCCACGCTCTATGGCATTGACAATCCCAAAAGTACTTTTTCAAGAGGCAACTGGACTTTTAGAGAGTCGTTGAGGCCACTTGGAGGTTTGTCTGTGTCCTCACGGTCACATGAGTAGTGCAAACGGGTGTGGAGTCTTTTTTCCACATCGATTTGCACTACTCGGGTGATCCTGAGGACACAGACAAACCACCCAAGTGGCCTCAATGACTCTCTAAAAGAATGCAAATGACCAGCAGTCTGCAAGGAATATAAATCCAGCCATTCCCATTCATCCAATCCTGGACGACATCTTCAAATCTCGCTGTTTGAGGAAGTTGCATAACATTCTCAGAGACTCTTCCCATCCTGCTCACAATCTTTTTGGACTGTTGCCTTCTGGCAGAAGATACAGAACAATTAAGACTCGGACCACACATTTTCTGAATAGTTTTTATCCCAGAGCTATAATTGCACTCAACGATGAACTAAAGGGCCCATCAGTGAACTGTTGGATAGTATTACTTGGTCTGTTGTGTGGATGTTTGGGTGGTTTCGGGGTGGGGAATTTGTGGTGGGTGGGAGTGTATTTGGGGATTGTTATGTGTGTTGAACCTGGTCTTTGGGTGTTAAGCGAATTTCATTGTATGGGTATACTGTGTATACACGTACAATGATAAAGTTGTTGTTGTTATTATTATTGGTTAATCTTTAGTGAGATTCACAGCCTTTGAGGCTGGTTAATAGCTCAGCAGCTCGAGTCCGAACCAAGGACCTAGGAACTGTTAAGGTATCGTCGGAGGATGTAAGCTGTTCCGAGTAAGGTGGTTTTTTGTAGAGTCAAAATGTTCAAGTCCGGCAAATTTAGAATTTCTAAATAGCGGGGTAGCCCTTTGGGTATTGCTCCAAGGGCTCCAATTACAATCGGGACAACACACGATTCCTTTTTCCACAGTTGCTCAACTTCAATTTGCAAGTCCCGGTACTTTGTGATTTTTTCTTGCTGCTTATCTTCAATCCATGCATCACCAAGTATTGCAATGTCAATGTACCATACTTTTTTCTTTTCAACTATTGTTATGTCAGGTGTGTTGTGGACCAAGTGCCTGTCAGTCTGAATCCTAAAGTCCCACAAGATCTTGAGTTTCTCATTCTCTAAAACTTCCTCAACCTAATGTTCCCAGTGGTTTTTGCTGTACTCAAATGCAAACTTCTGGCACAATTTCCAGTGAATGATCTTAGCAACGTGGTCATGGTGTTGTAGATAGTCAGTTTGTGAAATTTTGCTGCACCCACTGATCAGGTGGTCGACTGTCTCATCTTTCTCATTGCAGAGGCGGCATTTGCTGTTGGTAGTAACATGTTGAATTTTTGTCTTCATGCAGTTTGTGGCTAGGGCTTGTTCTTGAGCTGCCAAAATAAAGCTTTCTGTTTCTTTTTTCAATACTGATCTTAACCAGTTCCAAGTTAGTTTCTGGTCAGCTTTGCCTTCAATACTTTTCAAGTATTGGCCATGCAGAGCTTTGTGTTTCCAATTTTCAGCTCACTGTTCAATTACTTCTTTCTTCTATTCTGCTTTTGTTTTAGTTGTCTTTAAAAGGCCTCCTTTATTTACTTCCTTAATCATTGGTTCTTCACTTTTCTGGATGTAATCATTCAATTATTATTATTACTATTACTATTATTACTATTATTATTATTATTATTACTATTATTATTATTATTATTACTATTATTATTATTATCCAGCCAGAGCTGAAGAAGCTTCTTGGGTGAGAAGCGAAACATCTTCAAAGAAAAACAAAGAAAGTCCAGTTGCCTCTTGAAAAAGTATCTTTGGGGCAACTATGACTGAAAATCTCCTTAGACATTTTGCATTGATGATGTTGTCTAGATGGGTAATGAAACGACTGCGAGCAAACAGTCAAGCTTGGAGAATACCAAGAACTGCATAAAATGTTAAGCATTTCAGCTCAACTAGAAGATTTTATCCTCTTTTTTTATGGCAAATTATGTTTTAAGGCTTTGTTTAAAAATAAAGAAAAAAAGACAATGTTAGTAGCATAATCTTTTTTTTTTAATCTCCTTTATAGATTGTAGGCTAAAATAACACTGCAGTATTAACATCTAAAGACATCATCAAAAAGAAATATGATCAAAAGCAAAAGGGAGTAAAATGAATACAAGAAACATTTGATATAAGGTCAAACTGAAAAGATGATAATGTTCAGAACATTAAACTAGCCAAGCTATACAATAAAAGATGAACTCACAAATGCACCAAAACCAACTAAAGATTGAAGTATTTTTCTATTCAAACCAGGACACAATAAAACAGGTCGTAAAAGGTAATAAACATAAAAATGATACATAAAATTATTATATTAAATATTTGACCAGAGCATTTTATAGTGCTGAAGAATCTTGTTCTCATCTTTAGCAATAACATTCATAAAAAGTACCACATACCATAAATACCTTCTGTGTCTGCCATATTAACACTAAGAGCCTTGGTGGCGCAGCAGACTAAAGCACTGTTAAGTAACACCAGCTGCCTGCAATTATTGCAAGTTCAAATCTCACCAGGGTCAAGGTTGACTCAGCCTTCCATCCTTTCGAGGTAGGTAAAATGAGGACGCGGATTGTGGAGGCAATAAGCTGACTTTGTATAAATGTTCTGTCCCCATCCCACACACGCACCCCCACAGATGGCCCAGATTTAATAAGCCACACGACAAAACTCTTTGAAGATAAAGCTGGCAGCAACCCAGTGGCTAGCTGCCAATTCAGACTTTACTCACACAAAACAAAGATTAGACTGCAAGCATTCCGATAAAACAGGCAGAGTGTCAACAATACAAGGATTCATCCAAATGCAGTTTGATAAAGCAGGCAAAGTCCAGTAATGCAGAGATCATGGAGTATTTCCAGTTTTTGCTCGTCACAAACTGAGCCGGCCACCACACCCACATTTATACCCTGTGGGGGTGTGGTCCAGTGACTCAGCTAATCTTTGGCACGCCTTCCCCTCTGCTGTGCACGCTTCTCCCTGCGCCTCTGTCGAGGGTCCAGCCAGCACTTATCTTCCTCGTCACTGTCCACCTGTGGCTGTGGGGACGTTCTTGGCTCTGAGCCTATCCTTTGATCTTCGGTGTCCTCCGGAGGCATTGCCAGAGAGGAGGGTCCTGGAGAGGGAGGTCTTGCCAACTCCTCTCCCTCACTCTCAGAGTCTGCATCTGTCGATAGCCCAGGCTCGGGCAACGGAACCACAACAATAAAAAAGAACACCGCTTGGGGGGGGGCGAAAGCCCTACTAAGCAGGTATATACAAAAGTATGAAGGCTACTGCTTAACTCATTGTAAGCCGCTCTGAGTCTCCGGAAAAGGGCAGCATATAAATCAAACCAATAAATAAATTTTATGTGTTAATTTTTCTGTAGATACTATATACTGTACTTGGTTTAACCATATGTCGGGTTATGGGATAAAATCAGTGGTGGGTTTCAAAAAATTTTACTGCCAGTTCTGTGGGTGGGCATGGCTTGGTGGGCGTGGCAGGGGACGAATACTGCAAAATCCCCATTCCCTCCCCAATCCAGGGGAAGGATACTGCAAAATCCCCATTTCCTCCCGATCTGCTGGGGACTTGGGAGGCAGAGAATAGATGGGGGCAGGGCCAGTCAGAATTTTTACTACCAGTTCTCTGAACTACTCAAAATTTCCGCTACCGGTTCTCCAGAACTGGTCAGAACCTGCTGAAATCCACCTCTGGATAAAATCTAATTTCCTCCAAAGAGTTACTACCAATCTATCTATTCCCCGCAGAGCAATTAATATGTATTTTCATGTGGTTCTTAAACTGTGCCTCAAACAGATTGACAATAAAACTCTTAAAGGACCAAAAAAAATATATTCAAAATTGGAAAGGGGGATTTATATGCTTACATATTTTATTCAAACATTTGAAGCCTGCTTTTTTTACCAATTAATCTCAGGTCTGAATTCAGTCAGCTAAAAATAAGGCCAGATAAAAACAGTAGTTTTTTAAAAAAAATATTATTGCATATTAAAGAATAGGCAATTAACACTGTTACTGCTATGTCAGCTCTTCAACTTCAGTTACTGAAAACTCTTTGCTGTTTCGTTTTTAGGTCCTGTGGAGAAGAAAATAACTGTACATCTTCAGAAACTTGATGTAGCTGAGGACGATCAAGGGAATTATGGCTTTTTCACCATAATTTACAACCAGGGCTTCGAGATTGTCTTGAATAGCTACAAGTGGTTTGCATTTTTTAAGGTAAATGAGGACTCCCTTTCCAGAAACTCGTATGCCATTCATCCCAGAATGTATTGGCATTAAAATGTAGCTCCAAAACTAAAATCTTGCTGAGCAGAGTCGGTAAAAATTCGTTTTATGTTTTTCCCCCTGGCTGTGTAACACAACCGATAGCTACACCTCTCCTTTGAAGAGCAAGCAAGGAGCAATCAATACTTAACCCTTGTAAAATACAGAATTGTATAAATAATTGAGGAAAGCAATCAAGCGCGATGTGCGACAACTTGATGTTTAAGGTATTTCAGGGCAAATTTCATTGGTCGGTAATGAGCATGACAAAGTACCGTATTTTTTGGAGTGTGAGATGCTGCGGATTATAAGACGCACCTACCTTTTTTGGGAAGGAAAACAAGAAAAAAAAAATCTGCCTTTGCCTCCCAGCATCCATCCGGTATTCATCTGGCCCATTCGTTGCCACCCATTTGCCACGGCCCATTCACCGCCGCTGCAGCCCGTTCAGCGCGGCCCGTTTTCCCCCGTCCATTTGCCACGGTCTGTTCACCAACGCTATGGGCCATTCGGCATGGCCCATTCACCTCCGCCCGTTTATCGCGGCCTGTTCATCGCCGCCACGGCCCTTTCGGCACATCCCATTCACCGCTGCCAATCTCCGCCACCTGGAACCGGCTAAAAACGGGGTATGCGGAGGCCGAAAATGTGACATGCGGAGGCCAAAAATGGCCGAAGGGTGGGGGCCGGCAGGTGGGCGAGGCTTCAGCAACATTCAGTGTATAAGACGCACCACAATTTTCACCCACTTTTTTTTGGGGGGGGGAATGTGTCTTATACTCTGAAAAGTATGGTACATGGGGTGAATTGCCTTCTATGCTGTAGGTCTAGAATGGAGATTTCTTTGCTTAAAATCCAAAAGAGGGGATTGACTTATTCTCTGAAGCCCCAGAGGGCAGGGCAAGAAATAATGGGTGGAAGCGTGTTAAAGAGAGATCCAACCTAGAAGTAGGAAGAAAGTTTACGATAGTGAGAACAGTTGATCAATGAAGTAGCTTGCTTCCTGGAGTTGTGGCTGCTGCATCACTGGAGGGTTTCAAAAGCAGAATGGACAACCATTTGAGTGGGATGATGTTAGGCTCCTTTAGGGAAGAGTTGGGCTATAAGAGATCCTCTGAGGTCATTTCTAGCCCTGTGAGTCTTATGTTCAACACCACAGTTTTCAAATCCATAGTTTTCAGCTTGTGTTAAGAAGCGTTTGAATGCATTGTGTCAAAACAGGCTCAAGGATTCTGAAACTGGTTGCACCTTCATTATAAACATCCTTCTGGGGGGAGCTCTGTTCTGACCTAGGCTTCCCAAGAGCATGAAGCAAGACTCCTCGTCCCAATAAAATCTCTTTTATTTAGGTTCAAGGGAAATTCCTCTCCAGCAAAGTCCCGGCAAAACAGTCTTTCATGAGATTTCACAACTACAGACCTTTATCAGTGGTGAAATCTAAAATTTGTTACTACTGGTTCTGTGGGTGTGGCTTGGGGGGGGTAATGTGACTGGGTGGGTGTGGCCAATTTTTTTTTTAACTTTTAAAACCATTTTTTCTACAACTTCTTCGGCGAAGAGGTTGTAAAAAAATGCTTTCAAAAGGCTCTGACGATCCCAGCTGAGTTGCCTGATCGGCAGAGGCTTTTTTTCTTTTAAATGCCTCTGACGATCCAAGCTGAGTTGCCTGATCGGCAGAGGCTTTTTTTCTTCTAAATGCCTCTGACGATCCAAGCTGAGTTGCCTGATCGGCAGAGGCTTTTTTTCTTTTAAATGCCTCTGACGATCCAAGCTGAGTTGCCTGATCGGCAGAGGCTTTTTTTCTTTTAAATGCCTCGACGATCCAAGCTGAGTTGCCTGATCGGCAGAGGCTTTTTTTCTTTTTAAATGCCTCTGACGATCCAAGCTGAGTTGCCTGATCAGCAGAGGCTTTTTTTCTTCTAAATGCCTCTGACGATCCAAGCTGAGTTGCCTGATCAGCAGAGGCCTTCCACAGACTCCAGGACTGGCCCATGTTCCTCCTCAATCTCCTCACTGTCTGAGTCTGCCACCAGCTCCGCTGGCTGATGGCGGGCCACAACAAGCTCAGAAAATAGATGTTCACTTCAGCCATTTTGCCATCTTCTGACAATTGGTTTTCTTTTTCTAGACACTGTGGTTTCTAGAAACAGGAGCAAACAATTCTTGGAGTTGGCCTCGGTCTCCAATGCAGAGGTCTTGCTTCTTTGCTCCAGAAATATTTGGAGGGGTCAGGAGTACGATTTTAATCAAGAGCACTAGACAGCTATTGCAAAATATTGTAACAAAGTCAGACCCACTGAAAACACAGCCTCCCCTTGTCCAAAGGTTGTAATTGCTCTGTGATGATACACTGCAATAAGCGGTGTCCCGATCAGATGTTTGTCTCCTGAGGTCTTGCAAGCTACGCACTTTAGGCTTGACCTGGCTTCTGTTTTCACAGATGGTAGATGAAGTCACGAGGGATAAAACACCAGACTAGAAAGCTGGAGATCATGAGTTCTCGTTCTGTTTTAGGCATGAAAGGCAGCTGGGTGACTTTGGGCGAGTCACTCTCTCTCAGCCCAACTCACCAAGGGGACTGGAGGCTAAAACATATGAAGAACGGTTGCAGGAACTGGATATGTCTAGTTTAATGAAAAGAAGAACTAGGGAAAACATGATAGCAGTGTTCCAATATCTCAGGGGCTGACACAAAGAAGAGGGAGTCAAGCTATTCTCCAAAGCACCTGAGGGCAGGACAAGAAGCAATGGGTGGAAACTAATCAAGGAGAGAAGCAACTTAGAACTGAGGAGAAATTTCCTGACAGTTAGAACAATTAATCAACGGAACGACTTGCCTCCAGAAGTTGTGAATGCTCCAACACTGGAAGTTTTTAAGAAGATGTTGGATAGCCACTTGTCTGAAGTGGTGTAGGGTTTCCTGCCTAGGCAGGGGGTTGGACTAGAAGACCTCCAAGGTCCCTTCCAACTCTGCTATTCTATTCTATTCTATTCTATTCTATTCTATTCTATTCTATTCTATTCTATTCTATTCTATTCTATTCTATTCTATTCTAATTACCTGTCACAGTTGTTGTATGGGAAAATAGGAGGAAGAAGGTGGGTTGAATATGTCTCCGCCTTGGGTAATTTGTAAAAACAATAGGAAGGAAAGGAAAGGAAAAGAAAGGAGGAAGGAGGAAAGAGAAAGAAAGAAACAAAGAAAGAAAATAGAGAGAAAGAAAGAAAATAGAGAGAGAAAATAGAGAGAGAAAAAGGAAATAAGGGAGAGAGAAAAAGAAAAAATGAGAGAAAGAAAAAGAAAGAAGAGAGAAAGAAAATAAGAGAGAAAGAAAGAAAGAGAAAGGAAAATAAAATAAAATAAAATAAAAATTTTGGCAGAGTTTTTCTTCTTGTCCCTTTTCTGAATACTTTTGATTAGCAGGGACATGCAACAGTTCCAAGGCTGCAGACCGGCTGCAAGTCACTTTTCTCAGCGTGATCATAACTTCAAGTGGTTGTTAAACGAATAGCTGTAAGCCAAGGACTATCAGTACAGCAGATGGCAGGCACTTAGCCAAACCTGATGAACATCCGAAAGAAGCACAGCAGAGGTGGCCTCAGTATTACATGGAGAGGAGACTACCAGGAAATCCAAAGTCTGTAGTATATATTGGGAAATTGTCTATAGGCGAGAAATACAAGAAGTACAAGATTCCTTCTGAATCGCTGGCCAGAAAATAGCAGGATAATAGAAGCCACCAGAAATTGAGTATCATTCAGAGAAGAAGCCTGTAGCTTTTGAACTGATCAAAGAACACGAAAGTCCATCAGGATGGATTTTTTTTTTTTTAATTTGATTTATATGCCACCCTTCTCTGGAGACTCAGGGCGGTTACAATGTGCTCAGCAATAGCCTTCATCCTTTTGTATATTTATACAAAGTCAGCTTATTGCCCCCACAATCCGGGTCCTTAATTTACCTACCTTAGAAAGGAAGGCTGAGTCAACCTTGAGCCTGGCGAGATTCGAACCTGCAGTAATTGCAAGCAGCTGGTCTTAATAACCAGCTTAATAACAGGATGCCTTAGACCACTGTACTACCAAGGCTCTTAGAATTTGGGGAAGCTAACTAACAGAGTTGGAAGGGACCTTGCAGGTCATCTAGTCCAACCCCCTGCTCACGCAGGAGACATGTACTAGGGACTCGAACCACCAAACTGCCAACCTTTCTGATTGACAAGCTCAGTGTCTTAGCCACTGAGCCCCCTAGCTCTCCTGTTCTTTGCCACGTTCGTTCTAATTTTTCTCCATCCGCTTCCGATCAGAGGTGACATAGCACATCTGGGTGATTGTTTCAGGGAGAGCATATTTTCTAGGTCGTTTATTCTGGATTCATCTCAATATTGTCCTCAGTATTGTCAGGGATGCTACACATCCTCTCCCTAAATCAGTTCTCTTTGTTACCTTCTGGGAGGAAGCTTCGTGGTATCCAAAATGGAACAACTAGATTCTGTAATAGCTTTATACCATTTAGTATCAACCTTCTTAACTCTCAGGATTCCACTATGTATTCTAAAGGGTTTCTGCTCTGTGTGTGTGTACGTGTAAGCAACTAAGATGATTAAAGGCCTGCAGACTAAAACACACCGAGCCTTGGTGGCGCAGCAGACTAAAGTGCTGTTAACTAGCACCAGCTGCCTGCAATTACTGCAAGTTCGAATCTCACCAGGCTCAAGGTTGACTCAGCCTTCCATCCTTTTGAAGTAGGTAAAATGAGGACCCGGATTGTGGGGGCAATAAGCTGACTCGGGGGCCCCGAAAGCCCTACTAAGCAGGTATATACAAAAGTATGAAGGCTATTGCTTAACGCATTGTAAGCCGCCCTGAGTCTCCAGAGAAGGGCGGCATATAAATTGAACTAATAAATAAATAAATAAATAAATATGAAGAACAGTTGCAGGATTTGGGTT